GGGAGGAATAGTGTCCCATCATTGGTGTCAGTGGGAGGAATAGTGTCCCATCATTGGTGTCAGTGGGAGGAATAGTGTCCCATCATTGGTGTCAGTGGGAGGAATAGTGTCCCATCATTGGTGTCAGTGGGAGGAATAGTGTCCCATCATTGGTGTCAGTGGGAGGAATAGTGTCCCATCATTGGTGTCAGTGGGAGGAATAGTGTCCCATCATTGGTGTCAGTGGGAGGAATAGTGTCCCATCATTGGTGTCAGTGGGAGGAATAGTGTCCCATCATTGGTGTCAGTGGGAGGAATAGTGTCCCATCATTGGTGTCAGTGGGAGGAATAGTGTCCCATCATTGGTGTCAGTGGGAGGAATAGTGTCCCATCATTGGTGTCAGTGGGAGGAATAGTGTCCCATCATTGGTGTCAGTGGCAGTTACTGACTAGTGATGTCAGCCATTTTTGTTGCTCCCTTTGACCACAGACATGGGCCATCTTTTCCCAAGAGGCAGTGAAGAGGAAAGAGGGCCCCAAGTTGATATCTTCACCTTGGTGCTGGAGGACCTTATCACAGCACTGATCTCGCTTTTCCCTGCTGCATTGTTTGCAATCTAAAGGAAATGCAATACTTCAGCACATCGAGACCTCATAATAGGGCTGGTGGTAAGGTTGGCGCAATTAGTCTGTTGCTGGAATTCCCAATAGAGACCTAAACACAGAAAACAGGGATTATTTTACCATGATCGGTTTTTATTATATACATGTTATTGCAAAACATACAGCACAATAAATTACAATTATAAAATATCTAACGTAAACAGAATTAGAGGTAAAAATATTTATATACACAAATACTTCACAAGTTATGTGTGACGTGGAGTTGGCACACACACATTTGAGCCTATTTAAATCTGCCCTCCAGCCTTCCTTCAGTATTATATCTGACCTCCGTCCTTCCCTTCAGTCTTCTATTTGACCTCCGTCCTCCCCTTCAGTCTTATATTAGACCTCTGTCCTACCCTTCAGCCATTGATCTGACCTCCGTCCTTCCCTTCAGTCTTCTATTTGACCTCCGTCCTCCCCTTCAGTCTTATATTAGACCTCTGTCCTACCCTTCAGCCATTGATCTGACCTCCGTCCTTCCCTTCAGTCTTCTATTTGACCTCCGTCCTCCCCTTCAGTCTTATATTAGACCTCTGTCCTACCCTTCAGCCATTGATCTGACCTCCGTCCTTCCCTTCAGTCTTCTATTTGACCTCCGTCCTCCCCTTCAGTCTTATATTAGACCTCTGTCCTACCCTTCAGCCATTGATCTGACCTCCGTCCTTCCCTTCAGTCTTCTATTTGACCTCCGTCCTCCCCTTCAGTCTTATATTAGACCTCTGTCCTACCCTTCAGCCATTGATCTGACCTCCGTCCTTCCCTTCAGTCTTCTATTTGACCTCCGTCCTCCCCTTCAGTCTTATATTAGACCTCTGTCCTACCCTTCAGCCATTGATCTGACCTCCGTCCTTCCCTTCAGTCTTCTATTTGACCTCCGTCCTCCCCTTCAGTCTTATATTAGACCTCTGTCCTACCCTTCAGCCATTGATCTGACCTCCGTCCTTCCCTTCAGTCTTCTATTTGACCTCCGTCCTCCCCTTCAGTCTTATATTAGACCTCTGTCCTACCCTTCAGCCATTGATCTGACCTCCGTCCTTCCCTTCAGTCTTCTATTTGACCTCCGTCCTCCCCTTCAGTCTTATATTAGACCTCTGTCCTACCCTTCAGCCATTGATCTGACCTCCGTCCTTCCCTTCAGTCTTCTATTTGACCTCCGTCCTCCCCTTCAGTCTTATATTAGACCTCTGTCCTACCCTTCAGCCATTGATCTGACCTCCGTCCTTCCCTTCAGTCTTCTATTTGACCTCCGTCCTCCCCTTCAGTCTTATATTAGACCTCTGTCCTACCCTTCAGCCATTGATCTGACCTCCGTCCTTCCCTTCAGTCTTCTATTTGACCTCCGTCCTCCCCTTCAGTCTTATATTAGACCTCTGTCCTACCCTTCAGCCATTGATCTGACCTCCGTCCTTCCCTTCAGTCTTCTATTTGACCTCCGTCCTCCCCTTCAGTCTTATATTAGACCTCTGTCCTACCCTTCAGCCATTGATCTGACCTCCGTCCTTCCCTTCAGTCTTCTATTTGACCTCCGTCCTCCCCTTCAGTCTTATATTAGACCTCTGTCCTACCCTTCAGCCATTGATCTGACCTCCGTCCTTCCCTTCAGTCTTCTATTTGACCTCCGTCCTCCCCTTCAGTCTTATATTAGACCTCTGTCCTACCCTTCAGCCATTGATCTGACCTCCGTCCTTCCCTTCAGTCTTCTATTTGACCTCCGTCCTCCCCTTCAGTCTTATATTAGACCTCTGTCCTACCCTTCAGCCATTGATCTGACCTCCGTCCTTCCCTTCAGTCTTCTATTTGACCTCCGTCCTCCCCTTCAGTCTTATATTAGACCTCTGTCCTACCCTTCAGCCATTGATCTGACCTCCGTCCTTCCCTTCAGTCTTCTATTTGACCTCCGTCCTCCCCTTCAGTCTTATATTAGACCTCTGTCCTACCCTTCAGCCATTGATCTGACCTCCGTCCTTCCCTTCAGTCTTCTATTTGACCTCCGTCCTCCCCTTCAGTCTTATATTAGACCTCTGTCCTACCCTTCAGCCATTGATCTGACCTCCGTCCTTCCCTTCAGTCTTCTATTTGACCTCCGTCCTCCCCTTCAGTCTTATATTAGACCTCTGTCCTACCCTTCAGCCATTGATCTGACCTCCGTCCTTCCCTTCAGTCTTCTATTTGACCTCCGTCCTCCCCTTCAGTCTTATATTAGACCTCTGTCCTACCCTTCAGCCATTGATCTGACCTCCGTCCTTCCCTTCAGTCTTCTATTTGACCTCCGTCCTCCCCTTCAGTCTTATATTAGACCTCTGTCCTACCCTTCAGCCATTGATCTGACCTCCGTCCTTCCCTTCAGTCTTCTATTTGACCTCCGTCCTCCCCTTCAGTCTTATATTAGACCTCTGTCCTACCCTTCAGCCATTGATCTGACCTCCGTCCTTCCCTTCAGTCTTCTATTTGACCTCCGTCCTCCCCTTCAGTCTTATATTAGACCTCTGTCCTACCCTTCAGCCATTGATCTGACCTCCGTCCTTCCCTTCAGTCTTCTATTTGACCTCCGTCCTCCCCTTCAGTCTTATATTAGACCTCTGTCCTACCCTTCAGCCATTGATCTGACCTCCGTCCTTCCCTTCAGTCTTCTATTTGACCTCCGTCCTCCCCTTCAGTCTTATATTAGACCTCTGTCCTACCCTTCAGCCATTGATCTGACCTCCGTCCTTCCCTTCAGTCTTCTATTTGACCTCCGTCCTCCCCTTCAGTCTTATATTAGACCTCTGTCCTACCCTTCAGCCATTGATCTGACCTCCGTCCTTCCCTTCAGTCTTCTATTTGACCTCCGTCCTCCCCTTCAGTCTTATATTAGACCTCTGTCCTACCCTTCAGCCATTGATCTGACCTCCGTCCTTCCCTTCAGTCTTCTATTTGACCTCCGTCCTCCCCTTCAGTCTTATATTAGACCTCTGTCCTACCCTTCAGCCATTGATCTGACCTCCGTCCTTCCCTTCAGTCTTCTATTTGACCTCCGTCCTCCCCTTCAGTCTTATATTAGACCTCTGTCCTACCCTTCAGCCATTGATCTGACCTCCGTCCTTCCCTTCAGTCTTCTATTTGACCTCCGTCCTCCCCTTCAGTCTTATATTAGACCTCTGTCCTACCCTTCAGCCATTGATCTGACCTCCGTCCTTCCCTTCAGTCTTCTATTTGACCTCCGTCCTCCCCTTCAGTCTTATATTAGACCTCTGTCCTACCCTTCAGCCATTGATCTGACCTCCGTCCTTCCCTTCAGTCTTCTATTTGACCTCCGTCCTCCCCTTCAGTCTTATATTAGACCTCTGTCCTACCCTTCAGCCATTGATCTGACCTCCGTCCTTCCCTTCAGTCTTCTATTTGACCTCCGTCCTCCCCTTCAGTCTTATATTAGACCTCTGTCCTACCCTTCAGCCATTGATCTGACCTCCGTCCTTCCCTTCAGTCTTCTATTTGACCTCCGTCCTCCCCTTCAGTCTTATATTAGACCTCTGTCCTACCCTTCAGCCATTGATCTGACCTCCGTCCTTCCCTTCAGTCTTCTATTTGACCTCCGTCCTCCCCTTCAGTCTTATATTAGACCTCTGTCCTACCCTTCAGCCATTGATCTGACCTCCGTCCTTCCCTTCAGTCTTCTATTTGACCTCCGTCCTCCCCTTCAGTCTTATATTAGACCTCTGTCCTACCCTTCAGCCATTGATCTGACCTCCGTCCTTCCCTTCAGTCTTCTATTTGACCTCCGTCCTCCCCTTCAGTCTTATATTAGACCTCTGTCCTACCCTTCAGTCTTATATCTGACCTTTGTCCTGCCCTTTAGTTTTATATCTGACCTCTGTCCTACCCTTCAGCCATTGATCTGACCTCCGTCCTACCCTTCAGTCGCACTGGGACTGGGCGAGGTAAAATGTTCAGGGTTAAGTAAAACTAGGGGTGCAGTATTAGGGGTAAGAGTTAGGGTTGGGTTATGGTTAGGGTTGGGTTATGGTTAGGGTTGGGTTAGGATTGGGTGAGAAATTATGGGTCATTGTTAAGTTTAGATTTGGGATAATGGTTAGAGTGGGGTTAAGGATTAGGACTAAGAATTAGGGTTGGGTAAAATACAGTTAGGGTTAGCGGTTAGTGTTAGGATGGTTGGGTTATGACTGGTGGAGGGAGGGTTAGGGTTGAGTAAGGATAGGGTTAGCTTAGGATTGGGTGAGACATTTGCGCTAAGGGTCAGGTTTGGGTTATTCTTTGGGCTGGACTAGGATTGGGTGAGAAATCAGGGTTAATGATTGAGTTATGGCTAGAGTTGGGTAAAGAGATAGTCGTGGGTAGGGTAGGACAGAGTGAGGGATTAGTGCTGTGGGTTAGCAGTGTCCACAGTGAAGGCTCTAAGAAGGGTATCCTGTATGGAGAAGCAGGTCCCCTGGTTCCATTTTCTCCCAACAAGGAAGTACATATAGGGGTTAATTGCACTGTTAACGATCATCCAATATTCACTAGGAGTAACAATCTTGACTGGTAGTAAATTTGTTGGCAACAGCTTACAGTATAATAAAAATCTTACAGTATTTAATGGCAGAACAGATAATGTAAACATAATGGCCGCTACAATGATGATAATGTAGAGTTTCGGCGGGTACCGCTGCCGGAAGGTCCTCTTTATTTTGATGAGCAGGATGAGACTGGAAATGACCATGAGCGGCAGGCAGATCCCAACGGCTAAAACAAAATCCATTACCCCAATGGCCGAACATTTTAACGTGTATACACTCGGAGTCTGAGGTCCGCAAACCAAGTTATCAAGGAGACTTTCCAGACTGCCGAGGGCCCACGCAAAGCAGCACAACATGGTGGACAGATTTTGGGGACGATGGACAGTATTCCAAATGGGGAACAAGGTCGAAACACACCTTTCCATACTGATGGCTGTGAGGAGGTACATTCCAGTGTAGATCATGGCATAGTACAATATAGTCAAGGATAAAAAAAAAGACTGTATCCCATTAAAATTTGGATTTGAACCATTGAACGTATTGATATTGACCATCAAAGTCACCACGGCGACTGTTTCTAAGAGGGTGTCAGCCGCTGACAGATTCATAATGTAAACGGTATATTTGTTCCTCTGGATCTTGAAGCAAAGGTACCAAAACACGATAAGGTTTCCCACCAAACCAACAACAGAAACCCCCAGAAAAACCGAGGATACGATCGTCATTTCATCTTTTTCAGCTGTTCTGGAATCTCGTATCAATGTATCATTTTGGTTGCTGGTGTCTAACCTCATGACAATCATGATTATTCCTTTTTATCGGTGACCTCATCAAAGCATTGCGTTATGTTTTTCTTCCACCTGCGTTAAAGGTAACACATCAAAGGTAATCATTACCATAAGGCAGAATTATTTGCTTCCATTACTAATACAGGTATTTGTTTAAAGTCGTAAAAAAAAACATTTTCTTTTGCATTTTTGTTATAATGAAACTTACAAATACCCGGCATAGTGTTACCACCCTCGGAGCTCACTTGTTTTTTGCACTTTTTTTTTTTAATTCTTTATTTTTGAGCAAACATTTTACAGTAGCACATATACAGTCGATTAATGATATCGTACAGGTACAAACGTAGGAAACATGTCTATTTCTCCTAGCCCTAGTCGCTTAATTAGTCAAGGATCAAGCGGGAGCAGCCTAATAACATATGCAACGCCCGGGCGTTTGAGGTAATTGCAATACACATCAGACATGTCTCAGTGTGTAATAGGCAATAATTTTGATAGACGATAGTGTGTGAACCAAGGGGTCCACCTGTTTGCATCCGTAGATTGAGGGGAGGGGAGGACATCAGACAACAGCAGGACAGAGGAGGGAAGAGGGGGGAGGTTTATAGACAAGAGGAAGGGAGGGCAGTACCAGCAAGCTAGTGTGTAAGAGAAGGTATAGGTCACTGGGACATGGTCAGGCCTGCCTAGAGGGTTACTCACGGAGCGCTCCCTAGTAGGCTGATGAAAGGAGGAGTATCATACAGAGTGCGCTCGACCTTCAGGGGAATCCATGTACTCCAGCCAGTAAAACCACGTCCTAGAGTAACTGTCCTGCCTGCCCTGAGAAGACAGGATCATGTCTTCCATCACCCTAATCTCCTCCACCCTGCGTATCCACATAGGTATTGTAGGGGGGGAGGGATTCTTCCATAGACTAGGGATGCAGGATTTTGCTGCATCTAGCAAGTGGCGCACTACAGATCGTGAATAGGCTTTCCTAGACATAGGAATGTTATGTAGCAGGAAAATTGTGGGGTCCAATGGTAAGTCAGATTCCATAAACTTCCTCACAATGTCGCGAACCGTTTACCAGAAACGAATTTCAGACCATCCGTAGGGTTGCCTCTAAAATTACGTCATTACAAAAACTTCTCCTGGTGATCTTTAACAGTCAATATATTTTGTAACACTGAGCTGAAACAAGCTTGGAGCTCATTTGAATGAACTTGCTATAGCCTGGCTTTCCATTGATGACTCCATATTGACTAAGTACTGGAGCCAAATACAGCCACCCAGATAGCAAGGATAACTTGCCACCAACTTGTGTCAGGGTGAAATTGTAATTTTGTTAACTTGCTGCACACATTCCTGGCAGGTTGTAGACTTGCAGAACACTCGCAGCACAAGTTCTAGGCGACACTTTTTGAATTTGTAGCAAATTTGCTTGGCAGGTCTACAGCAAGAGTCCTGCAGGTCTTAGCAAGAGCTCTGCAAGCTCGCTGGTCTGGAGAATTGCAATGCGGACTTGCTGTAATCGTGCAACAAAATTGTGAAGCGCGGCAAGTCTGCAAGAGTTTAGCAAGTCATTTTCAAACTTGCAGCACAATTGCTTGCTATCTGGGCAAGAAGGTAGTATTCATAAAAGGAGTATAGAAATGTGTCTGAGAATGTTTTCATGTATCCAGGTCATGGTCAGTGGGTTACAATCGACATAGCGACCCAGGCAGCCGCTATTTGTGCCCGGGTCACAGGGGGGCCAACTGCAAGGGGCATAACTAGAAGTCACAGGGCCCCATACATAATTTTGCTATGGGGCCCTGTGATTTATAGTTACGCCCCTGGTCATGGTATAGCTAGTAGTTAGCCATGTAATAGTAGTTAGTTGAATAATTTACAGGTTCTAGTCAAAAAACTAAAGCATGTATGATGATATGTAGCGTTGGATATTTGGTTTTTGGTTACATGGAAAAGGAAGCAATCAGAACCCATTAAATCAACCAAATAGACATCCAAAGACAATTTATTTTAAAAAAAAATTATGTGTTCAGAATTGGAATTTTGATGAGAATTTAGAATGGACCGGAAATGGAAACAGCAAATTGGAAGGAATAACTTCAAACGTTTGACATGTCTGTTTTGGTGTTAAAAAAACCCTCACTAGTAAAGTTACAATTAAAGGAGAACTACGAGGTGAGTGCTTTTCACTCCTCCTCATAGTTCTAGCCGACCTGTGACAATGAGACTGTCACAGATCGGCTCAGTAGATCGGGAAGTGAGCGAACACATACCGGCGTTCGCTCACCTCTCGATCCTGTCACGGCTCTCTGCCGTGACAGAGGAGGGGCTGGATTCCCCTCTCCCCGCTCCGATCCTCCAGCGCTGACTGGCGGAACGGACGGGGGAGGGGGCGGGTACAGCTGGCTCTCCCTCTAGATAGGAGGAGCCAGCTGTCAGTCACGCAGCTGGGTTGATCCAGACACAATTGTCGGGATCCGATCCGGCTGCAGCGTCTCAGTATACCGCGAGCTGTAGCTCCCTATATACTGAGCTTAGGGTGACGGGAGGATGCTAGTTTGTGTCCTCCCGTTACCCTAAGGAGAACTATGGTGAAAAGCCTTAACCCCATAGTTCTCCTTTAAACTTCTACAGAGATGAATAGGTGTTATAAGAACTGTATCTCCACTCAGTGGATTAAATAAAAGTAAACAAATGTAGTTACTTTTATGATTCTATTATAACTTCTTACATGTAACCGTTTCTTTTCTCATCACAGATAGCAATAAAACCATATTCATTAATCCCACCAAACCTTATGACACCCTCCTGATCCAATTACTTCTCCACACATTGCAGAATGGAAAAGAGAGCTGGAGATCTCCTTTAACGAACAAACAAAAGACTAGAATCATACAGCTCAGCCACATAACCTCCATCTCTAAAAATGTTCCTGTCCCGCTGGGTATATGGGTTCAAAAAATGCTACACAAATTTTTTTCTGCGGTGCTTCTTCCTCCGCTGAAGACATCTGTAAAAGTCAAGTTGCCTTGATTTATTTTGTACGGATATACCATGACCCGGATGAATGAGAACATTCGCAGACATCTGCTGGAGATGTCAGAAACACGAGGGAACAATGTTACGCATTTTCTGGAGTCGCCCAATTTGTGAAGCTTCTAAGACAAGGAAAATTCTTTAAAAATAACCAACGTCCAGTTGGGGGGATGACCCAGCAGCTTTCCTCCCCCCACCTCACTCATAGGTCAATAAAAGCTTGCAATGAAGCAGACTTGGTCTATGGATCAACCAAGTTCATGAAGTGAAAACCATGGAGGATCTTATATCAGCCTCAAACCCTACAGATAAACAACTTCGTACAATGGAGGTTTTACTCAATAGACTTTACCTCGACAACAGAATATTAATGCTTACTGGAATGTAACCTCTGGGTTAACTTTGTGCCTTCTAAGAATGTTGGGCCTTACCTGTGATGGTTCACCCTCCCCAACTACCCCTGTCTTGCCCTGGCTTTCCATTCCTGTCCTGTTTTTCCCTTTCCTTTCTTTGCTGTAATGTTCCCCCTTCCCTTTCTTTCCCCTTTTCTGCTCCTCTTTATGTTCTGTACAGTCCAGTTTGCTAGCCTTCCTGTTATGTTTCTATACCGTGTCACCTAACAATTGGTGCCCAATGGCTTACCCATCATGGTTCTAATTGAAGCCCATCTAACGGATCAATCAATAAGTTCACTCCCTGGGTGGTCTCCATCAGGACTTCATGTGCTATGGTTACTCCTAGAAGACAAGTGGTTTTCTAATCAATGTTAAGGGCTATAACACTCATGGACTGCATTCCAAACTAACCCCTTGTTTCTGGTATAGATGATCCTGTTCATACATCACACATCCAATGTCCTGGGATGCTCGTGACTACTAGACATGTGCGATTCGTTTCGTTCCGAATCGAAATTCGGACGAATTTTCGGAAATTCGGACATTCGAATGTATCCGAATTCCGAATTAAAGACATAACGAATGCAAACGAATCCGAATTTCCATTTCCGAAATTCGGTAGCGTTAGTTTCGAACGTTCGTTTCGTTTTCTGTTCGTTTCTTATTCGTTTCGTTCGTTGGAGCAAAGTGACATTAGAGGAGAAAAATATTTTTCCCCCTTCAAATGTCAATTTGCTGCAAACGAACGAACGAAACGAATGCGAAACGAATAAGAAACTAATAAGAACAGAAAACGAAACGAACGTTCGAACTAACGCTACCGAATTTCGGCCGAATCCGAATTCCGAATCCGAATTGACTTTCACATCCGAATCCCGAAAAACGAAATAACACAAATCCGAATTTAAAACGAAACGAAACTAAACAAATTTTTTGGCAGTGCACATATCTAGTGACTACTTTCTCAATCATATATGTCCATGCTATAAATATTACCCACCCGGCTCCATCCAGTTTCACCCTGCAGTTTTGCTCCACATGCTCCACAAAGAGGAGTCATACTTCTCCTGAGGGGCATAACTACAGATCACAGGTGCTGAAGGGGGTTTTGTTGCAGAACTGCAAATAACTGTCAGTTTTTTATCTGAGGGGACACCATGGGATTTTCACAGCCTGATGAAGACTATGCTGGGCCGATTTCAGTGCTGGCCGGGATGACCAGAAGCTCCAAGGGCAATAAATCTACACTATAAAGACAACTTAAAAAAAAAAAAATGTTTTACTGCACAGCCTGCAGAGTGGATCTGTGTCTAGAGATGACCATTCTGAAGACTCCTCCTGTACATCTGACGTCAGATTTTCAGGACTGGAAATGTCACAGGGGGTACAGGCTTAGTGTCGGCAGCTACTTTTGCAATCCTTAATAATACGGTGATGGATTTACTGTATGTTATCTTTATATGCACACATATTTTCTATGTATAAATTGCCTTATCAGCCCCTCTAATGGGTCCCCTTCCAATCCCAGGCCCCATAGCAGCCACTACATCGCTACTGGGTCCTGTAGAGACTCGCCCAGTGTAACAT